GGGAGAAGACTGTGGTCCATCTCTTCTTTCCTAGCTCTAAGTTTTTAAAATATCTCACCCAAAGTAACAGTTTTCTTCCGCTTTATTTTTCAGTGGGAAGCTAGTTTTACCTTTGTGATTCTGAGCACTATGGGATGTCCGATTCATTTTGCAATAGCCTTGGAATCTGCCCTCCTCGGCCCATACTGCCTCTACTCATTTTCAGGGATTGCGGGAACCAATTATCTGGGTTATGCAGTTACCTTCCCTTTTCCTTATACGAAATTCCCATCAGTCTGCGTGGACCCACTCCACTATGAAGAGTTCCACCTGACGCTTCAAGCCCTTGACCTGGGCCTGAGCATTGCCCTATTCTGTGTGTCCCTGACAGTGTTCACCAAGCTTTCTGCAAGACTAATCCAGAATGGACACGTAAATGTAAGTTGCAACCAAGAGAAGTGGGGTTTGTTATACTTGAATGGTGAGTGGAAGGACTGAAGGGGAACACTTCAAGCGCGCTCCCTCCTTACTGGTCACCATTCTGTTATAGAATCCAGTGTTCAGCTACAGGTTGTTTTTGAATGAATACTTGGAAATATGTGCAGTAATAAGTGAACCTACTCCTCTAGATAACACTGGCCAAATTTTCTCTCAATCTGTAGCTTAAAAATTACGTACAGGAACAAGACAGTGACATATGCTTACCTCTTTTTTTTTAACTTCTTTAATATTATCTATTTATTTTTAGAGGTTTTGTTTTTAAGTTTATTTATCAACAACTTCATACTTTCAAAATGCACACGCTTAATGTGTATTTTGGTCATTCTCACCTCCCATCACCTTCCCCTGTCCTCCTTTCCCTCTTGCTGAACCCCATCTTCTCCACAAGCAGTTCACCCTCTACTTTCATGTCTTTGGGTATGCATGAGTGTGTGTATTTGTGCATGTGTGTGCAGGGCTCACAAGACGTAATGAGTTCTATTAGGGTTGCTTACAGGATCACAGTTGACGAGATAGTTACTGAAGCATGGGCAATTTACCGCAGGCTGTACCACTAAAGAAAATGTCTCCCCTCCTCCAGCAACCGCTAACTCTCAGGAGCTCCTCAGGGAGGCGCGAGGCCTCGTGGCCATCCCCAGTCCATGACAGGATGCCGGCTGGCCCCGTCTTAGCCAGGCTTTAGGGCAGGTGCCACAGCTGCTGTGAGGTCAGGAGAGCAATGGCACGGCATGTCCAGAAGTCAGTGTTTCAGAGCACACCTCCCCATCTTCTGGCTCTCATACTCTTCATGACTCCTTCTCTGTGATGGTCTTTGAGCCCTGGATGGGGTGATCTAGATATTTAGGTCTGAGCACTCAATAGTTACTTATTCTCAGCACTTTGACCAGTTATTAGTCTCAGTAACCACTGTGCACTGAAAAATGAAGTTTTTCTGGCCAAGGCTGAGAGCAGCACTAATCTTTAGACTAGTATTATCAGACATAAATATGTAGACGGCTATAGAGGAAGCTAGGGGCCATCCTGGCCTGGAGACCCTGACTCAAATAAAAGAAACAAGCAAAGAGCAAAGCAAAGCTTGTAATAGTTATAACTTCAGAGCTGCTAGAATGGTTAGCATCGAAGAACAGGAGACCAGGCTGCAGGTGGGGCAGAGAGACTGGAGCACTGCCCCTGCTGGCGGCAATGTAAAATGCTCTAGCTGTGAATGAAAACAGAACAGATGTTCCTTAAGAAATTAAAACCAGTGCTGCTTGACTGGGGTGGGGTGTGGCTGCATAATGCAGGCCCTGGGTTTAATCCCCAGCTCTGCAAACAGTCACTCTAGCAGTCCCATGTCCAGGCACATATATGAAGGAAACAAAAGTGCATCTTGAAGGGACATCTGCACAGCTGTGGTCATTGCACATTGTTCCCAGTAGCCAAGACATGGAAACAACCAGGCTCCATCCAAAGGTGGATACAACCAGGCTCCATCAAAAGATGGATGCGCTAGATGTACCAAATGTATATACATGAATATTACTCAGCCTTACAAAAGGGGACCCTACCTCACTCCACAGCGTAGGGTAAGCCAGACAAAGTTAAACTGTAGGTTCTACTTATTTGTGGAATCCAAAATGCCAAACTCATAGAACAGAGAGCAGTATGGTTATTGGCAGAGGGTGGGGGTGCAGGACATGGGGAGATTTTGGTCAAAGAATATAAATTTTCAGTTATAAGATAAATAGCCTTGATGATTGTCAATAACATTGTGTCATATATGTAAGGTTTGCTAAGAGAACACACACATGTATAGATAGATGCCATATGTATACATATGGTATTTTGATCAGGGTCACTACACAGTCTAGCCTGGCCTCAAACTCCTGATCCTCATACCTCAACATACCAAATGCTGAGAATATAGGCATGTGCCAGCACATCCAGTCTTCAGGAGTAAATCGTGTATGTGTGTGTGTGTGTGTGTGTGTGTGTGTGTGTGTGTATACATTTGTGTATGCCCCTGTAGAGGCCAGAGGAAGATACCAAGTGTCTTCTTTTACTGAGCTCCACATTACTACCTTGAGACGAGGTCTCTCACAAGCAATGAGAGAGAATATGGGTAGGTGCCAGCACACTCTGTCTGAGGAAATAGTGTGTGTGTGTGTGTGTGTGTGTGTGTGTGTGTGTGTGTGTATACATTTGTGTATGCCCCTGTAGAGGCCAGAGGAAGATACCAAGTGTCTTCTTTTACTGAGCTCCACATTACTACCTTGAGACGAGGTCTCTCACAAGCCTGAATCCCATATTTTGAGTTAGGCTGGGTGACCAGTGAAGTCTCAGGAGCCACCTGTCTCCATCCCCCAAAGCTGGGTTTACAGGTGTGTGGCCATGCCCAGCTTTTACGTGGGTGCTGGGGATTCAAACTCAGGTCTTCATGTTTGCAGAACAAGCATTCTTACCCACTGATTCATCTCCCCATTGCTCTTAAACAGTAAATCTTAAATGTTCTCACACGCATAGTAATATGAGTGGTAGACTGGCTAATCTGATTATGAAAAATATTTCCATGGACTATTTTGTTTATCTTAAATTCAGCTTTTTATAAGTAATGACTATGCACACACACATCCCCAAACATCCCCCACCCTGGCTGTCATGCTCCAAGATTGAAAAATCTTAACCTTAGAGATTTTTTTTTCTCCTGGGAAAATGTATGTTAAAATAAACTAAGATTGAATTTCAAACTTAAAATTTTTTTTTCTTTGGTTTTGGAGACAAGTGTCTCTCTCTGTAGCCCAAGCTAGACTAGAACTCACTATGAAGCATAGCCTAGCCTTGAACTCTTGGCAATCTCAGTCTCCCAAGTGCTAGAGTTACAGGTATGTTCCACACACCTTGTTTTCAAACCTAATTTTTTTTTTTTTTGAGACAGGATTTCACTGTGTAGGCTTGGCTGGCCTAGAATTAGCTATGTAGACCAGGTTGGCCTCTATTCACAGAGCTCTGCCTGCCTCTGTGTCTCAAGTGCTACGATTAAAGGTATGCACTATCATGCCTGGCTTCAACTCTAAATTTTTAAGTAATAGTTTGACATGCTATTTTGTGATTCATTGTGTTGGAATAAAATTGATCAGTTGCTTTATTTTGCCACATCAAATTTTACCTTCTAGAAATTTCCTAGTGGTGAAAAGCAGAGAAAACTTTCTTTTTGACCAGTATTAAATGGTTATTTAGAAATACTTCTTATTTTCACACAAGTTTACAAACGCTTCTCAATTTGTTCTTTCTGGTTTTGTCTATGATATTTTTTCTTTCTATTTTCTTACCATTTTAAAACCTAGTTTTACATGATAATATGAGTTACAACCGAGGATAGTGTCAGTGGACATCAACACTAGACCTTAGACTTTTTGTGGAAATTGATGGAAGCAACATCCTTTATACTTTAAAGATTAGTCAAATATAGAGACATTAATTTAGCTTCTCTCCCCATGAATTCCAAAAGGTGAGGATGCTCTAGCCATAAACAACAGATAGAAGTTCTCCTTGTAGGTCTGTTTGGGCTACAACATGAAAGTTTGAGTAGCCCAACTTCAGGTTAAGCTTTCTAGCTTTTTCTAAGAGAGCTAGAAATAATATCAATGACTTGACCATTGTCAACTGTTTACTATGTGTTGCTGTGGTTTTGAATCTTACAGCCTGTGTACTGAGGCTACTAAGTTCATTAAGTGCTAAGGATGTAGTTTAATTGGTAGGATGCTTGCCTCACATGCACAAAACTCTGGGTTCGATCCCAGGCGTTGAATAAAGTGGGCCTGATGGTATAGGCATGTAATCCCAGTACTTGGGAGATGGAGGCAGGAAGATCAAGAGTTCAAAGACATCCTTGGCCACACTGTGAGTCCAAGGACAGCCTGAGGTACTTGATGACCTACCTTTCACACAGCTAAGGGACAGAAGAGTGAGATTCAGAACCTAAGGCCACTTCTCTTGACCAGGCCCCATTCACTATGACTTGCTGTTCCCCTCACTTTGTCACTGTTCCCCCTCTGCTTGCCTGAACCCAAGCTCCACTGCAGCAGGATTTCAGAGCACAAGGGGCCTTGGCTCCTGATTCTCCAGGGTGTGGCCCCACGTTAGTCCTCCACGGCTTGAAGAGTCTTCTTCAGAATGAGATATTTCCTACTGCAAACTCTGGCTTTGTGATTCAGTTCCTGCCTATTGAGGTCAAGTGAATTTGGTAGCTTTAGTCAGGCTTGTTTTTCCTATTCCATCCAACTAGCAAGGCTGGGCTACAGGAACTTGGCACTCTGGGTGCCTTTTGTGGTCACTTCTATCCCCTTCAACTTCTACATAAGTCTGCAAAGGAAATCCTGTACATTCCTAGGAATGGAGCTGATTCTACAGAGGCCTGCCAAGCTGACGCAAGCCATCCCAAAATATCTCCCTTCCTGTACTGCCAGGGCATCTGCAAGTTTAGGGACTTGAGATTTCTGCTGGTGGTGAACAGCCTACATTTTCTAGAGTTCTTTGTTAGAAGGCTCATATGGCCATAAGATCCACTGAAGCCCTTGCCGTCATAATCCCCCATCATGGCATAGTTCACTAGGCATCGGGCTGTCCCTTTCTGTGGGATATGTATAACATCTAACATGGATGGAAGGCAGGAAGAAAGGAAAGAAAAAAATGTATACAGAGTTCAGTAAGTCAGCACCAGAGGCTGCAACATGAGGCCACCTGAAGCCCCTAGGGAGAGAAATACTTGGGAAACAGAAGTGAGCTGAGGCCAGAGGAAAAGTGCTCCAACAAGAAGTCCCATACAGGTCTTGGTATATGACCCATACTGTAAAGCCCACCATGACTGCAGTGCATTTCTCAAAGTAGATGACCATGGGATGGGAAGTGCTCAGCAATAGACAGTTTATTTTGAGATAGCATCTCCTGTAGCCCAGGCT